CCGAAGGGGCTCCAGAACTTGGCATATAAGGGAAGGCACAATGCCCCCACCCGTCGGGGCCGCCGTGTCGCATCCGAGACGCAGAGTCTCTCCGACACCTCCAAGCCTGAGCTCGATGCCAGACTATGTATTGGCAGTGCGCCTGGCTTTTATAATTTTTGCCTCCCGCTGCCCATTCGTCTGCAATGCTCCCGTAGTGTTCCCCCCTCCCCTTCTCCTCGCAGGGGCACGGCGTCTCCCCCATGGAAGGGGTCGGGGCGGTGGCAGCTCGCCCAGGACGTGAGCCCGCGGCCTTTGTCGCCGTCGGTCGGGGTTCGAGGATCCGACCGAGGATGTTGTCGCCGCTCTCGGCGCGTCTCCGCTGGCCTCGGGGGGCTTCCCCAGCTTGCCAGAGGGGGTCGAGGCGGTGGAAAAGAAGGTGGGACGAGGACGGAGGAGGAGGCGGGAGGAGGAGGGACGAGAAAAGGGGGAGGAGGGAAAAGGAAGGAGGATGGAGAGGGGAGGAAGGAGGGAGGAGGGAGGAGGGAAGAGGGAGGAGGGATGGAGGGAGGGAGGGAGGAGGAGGAGGAGGTGGAGGAGGAGGAGGAAGAGAAGGAAAACGAGGAGGTGGAGGAGGAGGAAAAGGAGGGAAAGGAGGAGGAGGAGGACGAGGAGGAGGAGGAGGAGGAGGAGGAAGAGGAGGAGGAGGAGGAGGAGGAGGAGCAGCAGGGGAGTCCTGAAGGATGCGGTGCTTGAGCATCCCCTCGCCGCCGCCGGCCTCCCGAGGCCATTCCTATGCCCCGGAAGTGCCCTAAACCTCCGACTATCGAGATAGCATGTGAACGATGCAAGAAAAACGGGCCGATAGCGCCGACATTCGCGCGCAAGCTGCCCGCGTAAGGTCGCGCGTAGGCGCCCTCCTTTCCAGCATCGCGTGCCGTCCTGGCGGCCCGCGTAAGCCGCGGCGGAAGGTCGCCATGTCATCTCACGTGAGACACCTTTTTTCTGATCGCCGCTCATTTGGAGCCGAAGCATGCTGGACTGTTTGTTCGGGGACATGTTTGATGGAAGGTCCTTTGGCCTAGGCTCGATCTGGCCTTGGGCTTGATTTCGATTCGATGCCCGTTCTTCCCCCTGTCGCTCTGTCCTCGGGGAGGTCTCCAGGGACCTTGTGGATGTGATACACGATCTCAGGGGGGCTGAAATTCGTTGCTTTTTTTCTTCCCCGCGGCACTGTATGCAGCCCCCCTGGCTCAAAGTTTTCTGGTCGCGCGGCCTCGCGGCGCCATGCAATACCAGTTGCTGGGTGGCTGGGCGGCCGAGCTGCGCGAGCTCCGCGCGGCAGCCCCGCTTCTTGCGGACGCTCTCGCGGCCGGGGGCGCCGACGACCCGCGCGTGTTCGGTGCGATGGGGCCTCTCGAGACCGACGCCGAGGTGGCCGAGCTCGCGCGAACCTTCGTCCCCGGCATCAGCGAGGACGACCTGGCCAGGGTTACACAGCCGCTGCGCGACCTCTTCGCCGCAGCGCGGGGCGCTCGTGACAGCTTCCTCGCCCGCTCCGCGGCGGTCTCGGACACCGAGGCCCACCTTGCCGCCATTGCGCGCGAAGTGCAGCGCGAGGCGGGTGCCGCCAAGCGCGCGAAAGTGTCGGCCATGTCTGGATGGACCCCCCCTCCCGGCACGCGGGCCAGGCAGCGCTGGCCTGGAACCTCCGCAGACGCTGGAGCGGGGGAGGACCCCGGCGGGCGGGCTGCAGACGAGCTGCGCCAACGCAGCATCTGGGTCGAGAAGGCGTTCGACATCGCCATCGAGGCCAGCTTGCCCATCACGGTGGACGACGAAGGCCGCGTCAAGCCGAGGTCAGCCCTGACGGCGGTGGCTCAAGGCAGGCGCGCGCGCACACTGCGCAAGCGCTGCAAGGACTGGAGCAAAGTGCTGGAGTTTCTCGTCGCGAGGCGCGAGGTTTCTTGGCCCGCCTCCGCCGAGATGTTCCTCGAGTACCTCAGCGCCCGGCTCGACGAGCCTTGTCGGAGGTCGGTCTTGCCCTTTACCCTCAACGCGCTCGCATTCTTCGAGCGCGGCGGAGGCGTTCCCGTGGAGCGGCAGATCTCCGCCAACACTTCCGTGAGACCGCCTTCATTCAGGAAGCAATGGCATCGGGAAGGACGGCGCCTAAGCGCGCCAATCGCAAAGCCCACCGGACGCTGGCCGCGCTGCTGGTCGGCTTGGAGGCGCTGGTGGTCGACGACGGCCAGAAGGAATACCCTCGCATGTACGCCTGGTGGCTGCTCCTGAAGAGCTGGGCCAGCCTCTGGTTCGACGACCACTGTGGCCTCGTGCTGGACACGGTGCAGTTCACGGGCCGCGGGCTGTTCACCCTTCTCCAGCGCTCGAAGACGAGCGGCGCCGACAAGTCGGTAGAGATGTTGCCCGTGACAGTCTCGTCCCAGGCCTACATTGTCCACGCCCAGTGGCTCCGCGTCGGCTTGGACCTCTGGCGCGAGGTGGCTGGGGGCGTCAGGGATTACTTCCTGGTGCTGCCGAAGCCCTCCCTGAGGGAGGTCTCCTACAAGGAGCTGAAGTACCACCACGCGGTCGCCCTCACGAGGTCCATCCATGCCGGGCGGCTGGGCTGTGGTCGGCCCAGGGGCTGATGAGCCTGTCAGCGAGGGGTTGCTTATCGAAGAAGTTCTTGACTTTTGGACCGAGCGCTCCGAGCGGTCATTCCTTCCCTCGGCCGCGGCGCTCTTGGACGTGTCGAAAGAGTGGGCAGACCACATCGGTAGATGGGGCGGCGACGGCCCCGAAACCTACATCCGCACTCACAGGGCGCGCGTCGAGAGGATACAGGCGCGGGTCGCGGCGGTGATCCGGTCCAGCAGAGGCCAGGTTGACTGTTTCGACGAGGAGTCCGTCCTGGAACAGCTCAGCATGTACCTGAGGGCACGGGGTGTCGACGAGGAGATGATTGTCGTGCAGCTCGATCGGCTCCGCTTCTTCTCCTCCGAGGCTCCAGACCTCGTGGCCGCGGTGGAAAACCCCAGCATGCGGGTAACCCGCATGGGAACCCGCAGCGGGTTCCCATGCTTGCTCCGCCGTCTCTGCCCGCGGTGACCTTTGGAAGGCTCCCTGACCCCCTGGCGGCGGGGGCGGCCTGCCTGGCCCCGGCAGCCCAGTCCTCTTTGAACGTGGACGCGGTCCTTAGCATCGAGGACAATATCCCCCCAAAGTCGGAGAAATTCCGCGCACGGGCTGCTCGCGCGCCCTTGCCCGACGGCGTTGACGGGTACGTCGTGTGCGTGGGCAAGAAAGTGTTCAGGCGCTTGCACCTGATCGGGGCGTGCTTCCGGGTCCCAGGCTTCGACTATGAGAATTTCGAGTTCTGCGGCAATGACTTGCCGCGCCCGGAGTTCTACGACGATTATTGCCGCCAGTGTTGGCGCGGAGACTCATCGCCGCTGGGCGTCACCCATGAGGACGGCTTGGAGGAGTTGAGCGAGGAGGCCTCGTCGTCCTTCGGTTCGTCAGAGCTCTGATCGCGTCGTCGCCTAGTGTGGGCCACGCGCGCCCCGCTCCGTCCGCGACCGTTGCTGTTGGGCTTGCCGACTGGTAGTCGACTGCTCCCGAGACGAGGCGTACGCAGCGCAGTGTGCCCGCCACGCCGCAGGTGGCTTGCACTAGTTCGGCTGGCGCCGAGATCGATTGTTTCTGGAGGTACGCCGCGAAAGTGACGCGTCATCCATCTCCATTCTCACCCTGGCCAGGGGCCAGGGGGCTAAGGCAGGGTCAGGGCCTCCAGGCGAGGGCCGTTCCCCGCATCCTCCCTCAGGTGAGGGAGGCCCTGGGGTCCCAGGGAGGCCCTCAGGTGAGGGTCGGTCGGGCTCTCTCGTGAGGGCTTGGGGGGGGGCGCATGCAAATGCCTTCAGGTGAGGGCCCTTTTGCGCCTTCTTCCCCCCCACCGTATCCTCCCTCAGGTGAGGGAGGCCCCGGGGTCCCTGGGCGGCCCTTTGGTCCTCTGGTGAGGGTCGGTTTAGGCCTTCTGGCGAGGGCGTCCTAGGGGGGGCGTGCGAGAGCCTTCAGGTGAGGGCCCCCTTGCGCCTCCCCCCCCCCCCCCCTTGTAACCTCCTTCAGGTGAGGGAGGCCCTGGGGTCCCACGGAGGCCCTCAGGTGAGGGTCAATCTAAGCCTTCAGGTGAGGGCTTTAGGGGAGGCATGCGCGTGCCTTCAGGTGAGGGCCCTCTTGCGCCTTTCTCCTCACCCTCGTTTCCTCCCTCAGGTGAGGGGGGCCCCGGGGTCCCGGGGAGGCCCTCAGGTGAGGGTCGGTTTGAGCCTTCAGGCGAGGACTGGGGCGCAAGCGAAGGCCTGCAGGTGCGGGCACCCACACTTGCGCCTTCCTTCTCTCCCCCGTGCCCCCCGCAGATGTGGGGGCTGGGGTCCCAGGATGCCCTCAGGTGAGGGTGGGTTGGGCAGGTCGACTTCTGCACACGATTTGCACGATCTCTTGTCCTGGTCGCTGCAGTCTGCGACAGATGCAGGGGAAACGTCTTGTCCCCCATACTTTGTTTGTCTGTGGTTGTTCCCCCAAAGTCTTTGGGGGGTACGTCAGGCCAAAATCCCCGGCGGCTGTTGTGCGTGCTCGGCCTCCTGGGCCTGGCCAGGGGCCTGGCGGTCATTTGCAGTGTGCGCGACCGCCACTGCGCGCTTTTCTACGTCTGCCCATACATTTGTTGGCCACGAGGTAATAGAGCCCAGTTCGCCCAGCGGGCGTTCGGTATTATCTGTTCGGGCTCTCCCCCGAATGTTCCCTGGAAGCTTCCAGGATCATCTTCCCAGGGGGGGGAGATGCGCTGGCGGCAGGGACCTTCTGGCGAGGGCCCCTGCGTGTCCGGAGGGGGCCTTCAGGCGAGGGCGCCGTGGGGGCGAGCGAGGGCCGCGGCGCGCGTGAGCTCCGTCGGCCGCGAGACTCAAAACGATTCGCATTCTCGTCGACTGCTTCCCTTTCAGGTTTCTCCTGCGCTCGCGATGGCCGTTGTGCTCGCGGCGCCTCCTGACGAGGGCGAGATCGACGCCCTCGTCGCCAAGCTCGAGGCCGACTTGGCGCACCTGCTCGAGGACTGCCAGGTCCCGAAGATCGCCCAGACCAAGGTGGCGAAGGTGGGGATGATCTCCACAAAGCTGTTCGCCCGTACTGCGGGCGATCTGCCGGGCGCTCGCACCTTCATCGCGCACCTCGGCCTCGACGCGTCCGCGAGCATCCCGAACGCGGAGGCCGCTGCTGCCATGGTCAATGCCTGGGAGGCGTCCAAGATCCGGGTTGAGAAGCGCCTCAAGATGGAGGCCGAGGCCCGTTGCACCGACCTCCCCGAAGCCCTGGGGAAGACGCAGCGCCGGTAACTCTTGCGCGCCAACGTGACGAAGCACCGCGAACTCGAGGAACGCGACATCCCGGCGACGCAGATGGTGGACGCATTGCTCGAACAGGTCGAGGAGGGCGAACTGGTTGCCGAGAAACTGTCTGCTGCTCTCTCGCGCGCACAGACATCTGGCGAAGTCTGGGACAATCTGAAGTTCCAACCCGACGGCACGCTCAGGGTCGCTCGGGGGCGGGCCATCGGCACCATGCCCACGGACTCCGAAGACCTGAGGGGCAAGTACCAGTTAATCGCGCGTGCGTGGGAGCTCGTCTTGCTGAAGGTCCCGAACCAGAACTTCCTGCTCCAGTAGCGCATGACAGAGTGGGACGAGCTCGTTGATTGGCTCTTGGGCGTTGACGTCTTCCGCTCTGAGGTGAAGGCGCCCGACAACAGCTTCACCTACCGCCCTTCGCGGGCGATCCTCTTGGAGTTCGAGTTCCAGGTCCGGAAGTGGATTTGCAGCGAGGTGAACGCAGGCACGTGCACGCTGCCCCAGGCGCTGCGCGCGGCGCAGAAGGACGAGGCGCTGTTGCAGAAGCACTTTTCCGATCCAGTGAGCGTGGCTGCTGGAGCAGCCGCTGCAGTGGCCGCCACTGCGGCTGCGGCGGCAGCAGCGTCGGCCCAACGCGCCGCCGATCGTTCCCGCAGCGCGGCGGCCAGGGCTCCCGCCCAGGGGGTCGTCAACCAGGCCGCTCAGAGTTGGTCGATCTCCCCCCCTGTCGCCCAGAGCTGGTCAAACATGGGCGGGGGCCGCGGCCGCCACAACCCCGGCGGCGGCCCCCCCGGCCCTGGCGGCCCCGGCGGCGGCCATGGCGGTCGCGGCCGCGCCGCCTCCCGCGGGCCCCCCGGGGGGTGGAAGGCCGGCTGCAACAACAGGACGGCGGACGGCCGCCTCAAGTGCTTCAAGTTCAACCGCCCCAGCGGCTGCCCCGGGGGCTGCGGCGCGGTCCACGTCTGCTTCGTCTGCAGCGGCGCCCACGGGATGCACGAGTGCCCGCGGAAGCCGAAACCGCTGGTTCCGGGCGCCCCGCCAGCAGCGGCCGCGGGCGGTCGCGCTCCGCCGTGGCGCGGGCCCCCGACTGGAGGGCCCGCGACCGCCGCCTCCGGAGTGAAGCTTGAGGCAGCGTCCGCGGGAAGTCATCTCTTCGCGGACCTACGTCCTCAGGCTGAATTGGAGGCTCCTGGGCAGCCGCTGCCGCCGCTTCCGCGCTTGGGCTGCGAGCGCCGTCGGGGCAACGGCCACTCCCCGCCGGCCGCCGCGCCATTGGTCGCGCCCACTGTTCCGGCGGCCGCGCCGGCAGCTCCGGCGAGGCGCGTCTCCCTCGCCGTGGAGGCGGCAACACCATCCGTGACTTCTGGCACTCCTGCGGGCGGGGGGCCGCGTTGCGGGCGGCCATCGTCGGATGGGCTTCCCCAGATGCCGATCAGGTGCCATGTGAGCAAGATCGACTGGAAGGCCGACGCGTCTGCCATCTACTGCGGGCGCTCGCACGCTCGCTTGGGCCTGCCGCCATCGCCGTACGCCAACCACGTCGGCAGGGGGTTGCCGAATGCGGAGGCGGCCGAGGCTTTCCGTAGCTGGTTGGACAGGCAGCCGGATCTGAAGGCCACTCTCTTCGAGGACCTCGCGGATCGCAAGCTCGCGTGCCATTGCGCGAAGCACGCCGCTTGCCGCGTCGACGTCCTCAGAGACGAGTGGAGGCGCCAGCAGATTTGCTTGTACCCGGACCTGGGCCCCCCGTCAGACAGCGAAGTTCGCCGCCTCGCGGGGGCGAGGAGGGCGGCAGTCGCGGCGAGGAAGGCGGCGGTCGCCGACGCCGCGCCGCTCATCCATGACCATGTCGCGCTCCAGGTCAGGTCCAAGCGGGGTTGGGCCCAGCTCTGCGACGGCGGGGGCATCTGCTCGCAAGGGGCCCGGATGCCAGAGGACAGGAAGAAGCCTCCGAAGATCGCCGAGGAGCTCCATCGCATCGCCGCTCGCGCCCTCGGCGAGGTGACCAAGCAGAAGGGCGCGGACCTGGCATCCCTGCTCTCCGCGCTGCTTGACAAGCGGGGCGAGTCCGTCTTCGGCGCCGAGTTGGTCGAACCCGTCCGGGCCAGCTGGGTGGCGGCATTGAGGGCGCTGGGCTACCCGGCCCGCTCAGATTGCAGCCGCAGGAAGCAGCCGATCGACACCCCGCTCCTCCAGGCGGTCCTGCGGGCCCTTGGCGACCCAGACGCTGACGGCATGGGCGCCTACATCGAGGGGGCCCCCATCGGCGCTGGGGTGGAGCTGCCGCGAACCCCGGAGGTCTTCGCGGAGAAGACTCGCCGGGCGCTGCCGGGCCAGGCACAGGCCCCCCCAGGCCAGGGGCCCGCGGACGAGGAGGTAGTTAGGGCGAACTACCCCTCGACTGAAGACCGCGTAGACAAGATCGAGAGGATGCTGGGCGAAGCGGTCGACCAGGGGCGCGCCATCAAGATGTCGCTGGCAGACGCTCGCCGCAAGTTCGTGTCGGGACTCACGGTGGCCTCGCTGGGGGTGCAGGTCAAGGAAGCGAGGGGAAGCGAGGCTGGCCCCCCCTCGCTCCGCCTCCTCTTCGACGGCACCCACGGCGTGCAGATTAATGAGCGCATCAAGGTGCGGGACGCGATCGAGCTCCCGAAACCGAGGGGCATCAATCGCGTGCTGCGCGCAGCCCGCGATTCTGGGCTGCCAGGTTTCCTCGTCACCGTCGACGTCAAGGAAGCCCGCGAGCTGGTTCTCGTCAGGGAAGAGGACTGGCCCCTGCTGGGCTGCCGTGCCAAAGAGAATGGCTGGGTGCACCTCCGCACGGTCGGCGCGTTCGGCATCTCCTCGGTGGCCTACTGGCGGCAGCAGCGCACCGGGTTTTCCTCGCGCTCCTCCACGGCGACTTCAATTGATGGCTTTTGCTGTTCGCCGACGACTGGCTCGCGCTGTTGCTCGGCCGCAACTTCGCCCGGTCGACGCTCCTCTTCGTGCTGTTCCTAAGGGTGTTCGGCTTTCAGCTCAGCTGGAAGAAGGTCCACGGGGGCTTCACGTGCAACTGGGTGGGGCTGGAGCTGCAGGTCACCAAGGAGGAATTTCGGCCAGCCGCGCCGAGTGGCTCAAGGGCTGGTTCCGGCGCGTCCTCGACGAGAAGGTTGTCAGCATCCGCGAGCTCGAGGAGACGTTTGGGCGCATGGTCTTCGTCTACGGCGCCCTGGAGTACGACCTCCCTTCCTCGGCCCGCTCTTCGCTTTCGTGGCGGTCCACCGCAGGGGCACCTGCGTGAGGCTGCCCGTTTTCGTCTCGAGCATCTTGCGCTGGCTGCTGGAGAACCTCGAGCGTCGCCGATCGGTCTCCGTCCTGTCCATGCCCTTCCGGCCGAAGGCGTCCTTCAGGGTGGACGCGAAGGCGCGGGGCGATCTGATTGTTATCGGCGGGTGGGAGCCCGGTGTAGATTCTGACGGCCGGATCTCTGCCAAAGTCGCGCGCTGGTTTTCCTTGCGCGTCACTGCCAATGACGCCCCTTGGGCATTTGACAAGGGGTTGCCCTTCAAGGCCATCGCAGCCCTCGAACTGCTGGCCTCGACTGTCGCGCTGATGGTCTTCTGCACGCATGCCGTCTTTCCTTTAGACGTTCACCTCGAATCTGGATATTTTGCCGACTCCCAGGTGGTGGAGCTTTCAGTCGGTAGGCTGATGAGCTCAAAATACCCATTGTACATAGTCCTCGTGGAGCCCTCTGCTCAGGAGTCTCGGGGAATCCGATTGTTCCCGGAAGGATCCCGCGAGGCTCCAACCAAGAAGCCGACGACCTCACGAACAAGGTCTTTTATGCGTTCGAACCGGGCCGGCGCGTCCAGGTGTCTTTCGCGGATTTGGATTTCAAGGTTTTGGGCCCGACGGTGGCCGAGGCTCGTGGCTTCTACAATGACGTTTCGCAGCTGCGCAGCCTTCGCGCGCCCGCTGCCTATGAGCGCGCGCGGCCTGTGGCCTCCCGCAAGCGTTTGCGCGATCGTGAGCCTTGGTAGGGCATCCTTTCTCGCTGGAAAAGGGGGCGCGCCGGGTGGGTCCGATTCGTCCGTTCGCCAGCAAGGCTCGTCGCGAGTTTGCGATTGCTTTCACGCCCGCAGGTGCGGGCGCTGTCTCGATTCCCCACGGGATGCGGGGTTTCTCGCCCTGTGTTCGTCCCTGGCGCCGCCCTGGACTCCTGGTCGGTCGGGAGGCTTGGGCGCCAGTTCGGCGCCTGGGATTATGTCTCCCCTGTCCGATGTGGAAAACGGCATCTATCTGAAATCTGGTCCTTTGGCCTAGGCTCGATCTGGCCTTGGGCTTGATTTCGATTCGATGCCCGTTCTTCCCCCTATCGCTCTGTCCTCGGGGAGGTCTCCGGGGACCTTGTGGATGTGATGCACGATCCCGGGGGGGGAGAAATTCGTTACTTTTCTTCTTCCCCGCGGCACTATATGCAGCCCCCCTGGCTCAAAGTTTTCTGGTCCCCTGTCCGATGTGGAAAACGGCATCTATCTGAAATCTACAATACGATTGCACATAATCATGATGACCAACGTTGCTTTTCCATCGCGGGGCTTACCCTTAATTTCCGCGCGGGGGGGGCACATTCTGACCCCGAGGCTGTACAAGTAATGGTTCAGAACGCAAAACCACCCTCGGGGAAGGGGTCGGGAGATCTGGGACCGCGGGCTGCACACATCAGATTCGAGGACGCCTGGGGCTCAAGAGTGACACGCCACTCCAGGGGGGAACCCTGGGGTATCGAGGAACTTCTCCTTCAGGCCCTGGAGGCCCTCATGATTCAGATCTTCTGGCCTATCGGGTATTCCAAACGTCGTGGGTGTTTTTGTTCAAAAATCTGCTCATCCTTTTCTCCCCCCCCCGCTGCGCCAGCCTTCCTCCGCCCACCCCCCATTCCTCTCCTGACTCGATCCCGCCCTCTTTCCCTTCTTCCCCCCTCCTGCCTCCTCCATCCTGGCCCGGCCCCAAGACTTCGGGGCCCGCTCGGCCCAGCGCCGCCCCGACCACCCTAGCAATGTTCCGCCCTGCCCGATCCGGCAGCCTGGGTTGGGGCCCGCTTGGCCCAACGCGACGCGAACGCCAGATTTAGGCTCCGACCTGGCCCGGCCCGACCCGACGGTTGGTGGGGATCCGCCCGCCCGGTCGGCCCGACGCTCCATTTGAGGTGTTGGCCGGGAAGGGACTTCCGGAGATGCGCAAGGTACAGTGGCGGCCGTTCGTTTTTTTCGGGCACGCATTTCGAGTGTCATTCGGGCACATGAGGGCGAGCCTTATCGAATTGAATGTTGTTGCTTCCGGTGGATTTGGCGGTGACGGCGGCGGCCATGACAGTCGAAGCGGAAGTACCTCCGAGTGCAGATGACAACCGTTGACGAATATGTTTTTTCCCAGCGCTACACCAGCGAGACGCTGAAATACTATCGCGGCACCCCAAACATAACATGCATGAAGTGGTGGTGGATGAAGATGTGCGAGCAGAAAGCATATGATAATTATGTTAAACACGAGGGCGATGGAAAGGAGTCGGAGGAAGACCACGAAGAGGATTAGGACGATGAAGTAGCGCTAGTCAAGACAAAGGTGCACGGGAACGAAACGAGTATTGTTGATGAGTATAAGGGTGATTGTGATTACGAGGCTGATGGTGGTATGGTTATAGTGATCATGGTGAGGCTGGATATGGGCTCGGGACGGTGGTTATCAACATGGGATGTCGTTTTCGCGAGCGTTGATTGCGCATCTCACGAAGAGCACCGTTGAGACTCCCGAGTGGCAGCGATTGCAGGGCCGAGGAAGAAGGGTTTTGGAGGAGGAGGACGAAGACGACGATGACGACGACAACGACGGGAATGATTACACGCCGATTTTCCGAAGTTGTAGGAGGAGAACATTAACGATGGAGCTGCTTGGAAGGCGAAGGGGAGGTCCCGAGCATGAGGAAGATGAGCATCTGGAGGAGGGAGAGGAGGGGAGAGAGGAGGCGGATGATGAGGACAAGGATGAGAAGAGGAGGATATGCATTTGCAGGAGGGCGGAGAGGACGGATACACAGGCAGAGGACGACGAGAACGAGGAGGAGTTGGGCGATTATGAGAATGAGGATGAGGAGGAGGAGCAGGATGAGAAAGAGGAGGAGGAGGTGGTAGAGGAGGGGAAGCATGACCTCCTGTGGCCCGCAAAGCGCCCAACACACCCAAAAACCTCGACCCTCGATTCTCGAGCGAGGGTCGGTGATGGATAGCCATGGCGACGATATGGAGCAGCACTCGGCGACGGAGGAGGCGGCGACAGGACGGCGACGACGACGACGACGACGACGACGATGACAGCGGCAACGGCGGCGTCGCCTGGAGGGCGGCGACGTCGTCAGCGGCGACGGGGGCGGCGGCGAGGAGGCCGCCCGGCCCCAAGGCACGGTCGCGGCTTTCGCGGCCCGCGCCGCCGACGCCGCCCCTCTCAAGGCTCCCCTCGCCCTCGTCGCCTTCGTCTTTGCTGTCGTCGCTGTCTGCTTTTCTATCGTCGTCGCCGTCTGCGTCTGCGTCGTCGCTGTTGTGGTCGTCGTCAGAGCAGGGGGAGGAGGAGGAGGAGGAGGAGGAGGAGGAGGAGGAGGAGGAGGAGGAGGAGGAGGAGGAGGAGGAGAGGGAGGAATGAGGCGGAAGGAGAAGGAGGAGCAGGAGAAGGAGGCGCAGAGGCAGGAGGGGAGCGAAACGAGGCGGTCGTGTGGGGGCTACTTCATCATCATCCCTACTACCTCATCCTCTGCCTCCTTCTCGTCCCTCTTCCCCAGGCTGTGCGCAGGGCGAGCTGGGCTGAACTCGCTCCATCGTGTGCGCGGCGCTAGCTTCGAGCATGTCTCGTCTATCGTGTACGTGGCCTCCCGTCCTGCGCTTGCAGCTGGGCCCCATGTACGGAGCCAGCCTAGTCTGATCACGATGCTGCTCCGAGCGGCCTGGGAAGGTCAGATACCGTGGCACGGTTTTGCATCGCGTCTGGCGTGAGACGCGGCTGCTTCGATGTCATAGGCGGAGGGGCAGAAGGCGATGGTCATGAGCGTTGCAGCTCTTCGGCGGGTTGTTCCGCGACCCCGAGGCTCGAGCGACGCACGGGGGCGAGGTATTCAAGGTACTCGAATCGACTTGATGCTCAAGGTATTCGTGGTGCTCAAGGTGTGCAGACGATATACACTATGTCCTTTCTCTGTCGTTGCGGACGCAGAATAACAGGAACCACGTTTGGGATCTGCATGGATTTGAAACGATTTGGAGGAGGACTCCGCGACACACATCATCAAGTGAGGGTTTCGGCCCCTGCACCCCGCCCCTCGCGGGTCGGCCTCCGGCTGGCCACAGTCCGCTTACAATCCCGGTTCCGCTTACCGCTGGCTCGTCAAGAGGTTGTTCTCAGCGTGTGGTGCAGCGCTGGCAGTGGCAGCAGCTCGCGGCGCATCCTGGCTACGAGCGTCTTGCCAGCGGTGGTGTGCTTGATCCCCTGATGCGCGAAGTCCTGTGCCGCTCGGCCCAGCCCTGCGTCGCTGAGTCTTACGCAGCGCGGGGCTGCACGAGTAGAAGCGACCTCGTGCCTGCTTGTCGGGAATTGTCACCATGCGGTCCCAACGGTTGGAGCCATCTTTGTGCAGATCAAGATCAAAGAATGCTGCTACGTGGCGTCGCTGGTGTCCGACCACGTACGCCGCGGGCTTGAGACACAACATCAACAAACCCAAAACTAAAAGAAAAGCGGCATCGGCGAGTTTCATTGAATTTCCAGAGTCCACAGCAGCCCCGCACTCCTGTCCGCGCCGGGAAGACTATGGTATTTCCTCGTCGTCCCTGTTCGTCCTACCTCGCTCCTTCTCGGCTGCCTTTTCTCGCGTTTCCTACATTCTCCTTCCTGCCGCTGTTTCCTCTTCCTTCGCTTCTCCTCCTTCCTTGCTCCTCCTCCTCCTCCTCCTTCACATCTGCTCCCCTTCTTCTCTCCCCCTTCCTCCTCCTCCTCCTCCTCCTCGTCTTCCTCTTCCTCCCTCCTACGCCCTCCCACTCACTCCCTTCCCCTTCCTCCCCCCTGTACCCCCCCCCTTCCGCCGAAGGCGGGCCAGAAGGTCGAGGCCAAATTCGGCAACAGCTTCTTCGACGCCGACGTGGTTGAGGCAATCCTCCCCCAACAGCCTTTGAAGGCGAGGCGGAGCAGGAGGGGAAATTCGATGGAGGAGGAGCAGGCTGGTGAAGATGAGGAACATCGGGGAGAAGAGGGACCAAGGTTTTGGCAGTCGTGCTTTTTCTGGCATCTCGGGACAACGGTGGACTTCGAAGACGTCTGGAGGCCAGCGACGCGGAGGCGGAAGCGGGCAGAAGATCGAGGGAGTGAGGAGGGGCTGGGATTCTGGAAGCTGCTCATCGCGTTGCCTCCCTGCGCCCGCAGGGGGTGATCGTCGCCGTGACGCGGTCCCCGCTCGGGCTCGCTCCGCGGATCTGTGCCGCAACTGCTAGAGCTACCTCGTACCACGATCGCGCCCGCAGGGAGGGATCGTCGCCGTGACGCGGTCCCCGCTCGGGCTCGCCCCGCGGATCTGTGCCGCAAATGCTAGAGCTACCTCGAGGCAGATGTTTTGATTCTTCCATGCGGGCGGCGAATTCCTCACTACCTCCCACGCAGTTGCGGGGCACAGCAAGGAGCTAACTTTCCGTACCCGCGCCACGCTCGCTTGCGAGTGCCGCGTACCCGCCGGGCGCCCATCGGTGCGAGGGACGGCCGCTCTGTGAAGCGGCAGCGGCGCCCTGGTTGGCCGTCGGCCCCCAGGTGGCCGCGGACGGAAGGGCCGCCGGAGGCTGCCCTGGCAAGAGGCGGGGGGCGGGGCGTAATGCGCCGCGGCCCCCACGTGGCGCCAACTTTGGAGCCAGGCCTGCGTTTCTACAATAACAAGCACTGTTGCTTGCTTCGCTCCTTCGATACGCCCGTTTTGATACGCACCACGTGCAGCGTTTAAAACGTTCATGTC